ACCCTGGTCTTTGATTTAAGTTTTGACATGAACGTTCAAAAACTTTAAAATGTTTGTATAATTCCTTTATTAAATAGAGTCCAGTTGATCAGTTTCATCTAATGCTTCTTGCCGCCCTTCCTCCTGAGGACAGGACATCGTCACCATCCGGTTGATTTTTATGAAAATCATCACCTGTGCAACAAGTGAAACTCTGCTCTGGGATGTGTCTYGCGCTAYTATTGCTTTCTTTTTAATGATGAACCAAGCTGCACGCAGTTCTGTGTAGGTCTGTGTGTACGTGTGTGTGCGTGCGTGTGCACACACGTGCGCTCGCAGCAAAGGTTCTTTGTGGGTTTGTGACCCCCACTCTATCTGGCCCAGGCTTATAAACTGCACGACAAACTAAACACATACGATTGTTTGCCTCTGTCTCACAATAAGTCCTTCACTGGTTTGTTATATTTTGTGCATTTGCCATCAAAACACACCACGAATCCAGCCAATGATTCACTTCCTCATTAACCTTTGAATCAGGTACCAAAGCAGTGACGTAAGTTCACCACTTACGAAGCTTCGGACGTCACTGATCACATGACTTTTACCAAACGAATCAAGCTCCGACACAGTGCTTCTGAAACAGTGTGTTGTTTTTTTTTCAATACGTGCGCCGAAGCTTCAGCTTCAAACTGCCCATCACTAAATTATAGACAAGCATGTTAAAGATAAAGGTTATAAGACCATGGGAGAATGTCCTATGGACAGGTGAGACAAATTGGAACTGTTTGGCAAGACACATCAGCTCTATGTTCACAGAGGGAAAAAATGAAGCATATGAAGAAAAAAACACTGTCTCTACTGTGAAACATGGAGGTTCTGTTATGTTCTGGAGCTGCTTTGCTGCATCTGGACCAGGGAGTCTTGAATCTGTGCAGTGTACAATGAAATCTCAAGACTATCAAGAATTCTAGAGAGAAATGTTCTTCCCGGTGCCAGAAAGCTTGATCTCAGTCGCAGCTCATGGGTCTTCAACAGGATAATGACCCAAAACACAGCTAAAAAGGAAAACATTAGACTATTCTGAAGTGGCCTTCTATGATCCTGACCTAAATCCTATTGAGCATCTTTGGAAGGAGCTGAAACATCAAACCTGAGACAACTGGAGCAATTTGCTCATGAGGAGTGGAACAAAATACCTGCAGAGAGATGCAAAAGTCTCACTGACAGTTACAGGAATCGTTTGATCGCAGTGATTGACTCAAAAGGCTGTGCAACAAAATATTAAGTTAAGGGAACCATTATTTCTGTCCAGGCCATGCAGTGAAGCAAGGCTGAAAAGCAATGTCCGACTTTCATTTATTGTTACTTTTGTCAGATTGAAGTTATTTCTGTGACCATTGTGGGTTTTTCTTTCATTACACGAGGGGTACCAACAATTTTGTCCACATCTGTAAACGTTCAAAATAAAGAAAAATATACCCACTTTTAAAGAAATAGTTCAATCAAATGTTCCAGATACAAATAAGTACAGTGTGTTTAAATTCTGATTTGACAGAAACTGTTCAGCTTCATCTGTTCTTTATGAAAACACGACACCATTAGAGATTGATTCACATCTAAAGACAACAATTCGGTTTACGGATATAAAAGAGATGTGAAGCAGCGGTGATGGATCACTGACACATCTACATGATTGTCTTTAAAATGATTGCAGCCAATAAATGGCACTTTAACATGTCTACAGCAGCTGGTTTTCTCAACTAAGACCGTTTAAAAGGACAACATAGGACCAAACTGAGCACACTGCCATGATGTAACATTCAGTAACTGAAGAACGCAGATGTTTCAACGTCCATGTTTAAACACGGGGATGGAAAGCAGCGAAGAGTATTGTTTCATTTGAACATGTTTTTTTTCTAAAGCTTAAAGGTTTCATAAAAACAAGAAACAGAAAGTCTTTGACAACAGATGCTGATAAAAATCTGAACCCGCCTTGTTGAGGTAAATGTGACATCTGTGGACTCTGTGTCAGCAGTAAGACAGGAAATCTAAAGTACAGGTTTACGACAAAAACAAGTCCAAAGTTTTACAATGTAAACTCTTTTAAAGGGGCAATATTATGTGTTTCTCAGGCATACATTTAAATACTATATTATAAAAAGTATCTGTGTCACCTTTAGCTGTTATTAAAATGCTGTTTTTATGTTTAAATAGAAAATAAACTTATCTTCTCATCACTTCCTCTTCTAAACGCCTCGAAATTGGCCTCTGTCTCTTTAAGACCACCGTCCGCGTCTGTCCCGCCCATTTCAGTGGGGGCGCTATGATGCCGTTTACTTGGCATCTGAAAATACATTACCTCAAAGGTATTTTGAATCTGAAAAGAGCTTCACTGTGAGAAATAGTGTTAAGAGCTCAGCAGACAGTTTAAGTTTCACTTTCAGTTTCACCCGAGAGCCTGGAGGAGTCATGGGCGGGGTGTTTATGTACAGTATGTATGTGTGTGTGTGTGTGTGACAGTCTGCCTGAGATCTGAAGCTTGGCTGGAACAG